TGTCTCTTTTTCCAGTTCTTCCTCCCCCCCCATCCCAAAAAAGATTGGAAACAGAAAACACTTTTTCTGAGATGAAAGTGTGTAAAAAGTGTTAGATTATTCTAAGTAACATTAGAATCAATGTAAAATTGAATTATTATTATTATTATTATTATTAGTATTATTCTATACTGAGATATGTCTTGCTGCCAGCTGTTTGACCCCTGATCTTATCTTTGCTTTATTTTGAAATTTCAGATGTGGGTGTAAGAACAGCATGAACCATGCAAAAGAAGGAATGCCCCATGAAGCCAAGAATCGCTGTAGATACACTCATCAGTATGATAATCGAGTGTTCACTTGCAAGGTGAGTGGAGCACGTGAAGTGGAGTTTCTGGTACTGGAGACTAGGAAAAGTTCATTTTATTAGCAGGCCTGTGCAACTATGAGTTGCTAAGCTGAAGGCAATCCACAATTCATATGTAGTGGCTTGGGAAATGGGTTGGATTGTTAAACTGTTGGCACCTTAATCAGACTGCCTCATTATTTCCACAGCCAGAAGTTTTTTTGGAAATAAGCTGTCCAGTTATTTGGGATCATAAGTAATTTGGTTGGTGATTGTCATCTAAGAACAGAAACATTTACTCCATTTCTGAAGGAATTAAAAAAAAACATTCAGAAGATCAGTCCTAATTCATTACTAATGCACCCCTTCAGGTGAATTAGGAATGAAGCTGTTTGGAGCAATAGATTATGAAACTTTAGAGAAATCTGCATCAACCTGATGCCATCTTATCAGTGGATACTGGATATATGTGCTTCAACATGCCTGGAGGGCTTCTCCAGACAGAGAAAGGCTGCTTTAGAAATTAGCAATTTCCCTTGGTTTTTAGCATTTTCTTTGAAATACCACAGAGAAAAGGAGCAAAATCTGGAAGTTGTCTTTTGCTTTTTCCTTTCATAGTTCAGTTTTCTGCTGCTTTTTGAATCCCAGTTGTTTGTCAGATGCATTTGCTCCATTTCTTTTCCTACCACCTTCCAATTCACATTAGTCATGTTTCTGGATTTCCTAGGCAAAAGAGTTCTTTTAAAAACAACATTTTAGAAACCTCTTTCCCATCAGTCTGGGTATTTCTGGCAATGGACCGAATTAACACTTTTTTTTTTACCCTTTAAAAAACATTTTAATCTTTTGGGATGTTGTGAATGGCAGTAAGGTAGGGCAGATGGCATAAAGAAGGTCTCTGTAAGCCCTCCTTCCTTCTTTCTGTGCACATTATATGATGTAGGTAATTCTAGCAGTCCTAGGTAAGTAGAACTAGGGACTGGGGGTTCATTTTGGTAGATCCCAGATAGTAGTTTTCAGCTAGAAACAATGATGATTTTCCTAATTTATTTATGGCTTCTACACTCTACTTAAAGACCATGTTAACTTTTACATGTTTATATTTTCATTAAAAATGTTCAGCTCATGAGATTTCTTACTGCCCCTTTTTTAAAAAAGAAAAATTCTTGTGCACAGTAGGCTTGAAAATTGAGATCTGAAGAGAAAAGTTTTTTAACTGATCTCCTGCTTTTCAGGCTTGTTATGAACATGGGAATGAGGTTAGGGTAGTGCCCAAAACATCTGCTTCTACAGATTCCCCTTGGATGGGCCTTGCTAAGTACGCCTGGTCAGGGTGAGTATAGGTACCCTACCCTTTGTGATCTCCTCGTCTCATCACTTCAGAGAGGCTGAAGTCAGCAGCTCTTTTCTTCCGTACTTGCAGATATGTGATTGAGTGCCCCAATTGTGGAGTCGTGTACCGTAGCCGACAATACTGGTTTGGGAACCAAGATCCTGTGGATACTGTGGTGAGGACAGAGATTGTGCACGTCTGGCCAGGAGTAAGTTTGTTGGTAATGATTGGTTTCCATTCTTTTCAGAAAGATAGGGATTAGAAAGGGCCATTTAGATGAGGGTGGACAAACTTTGAGCAGAAGGGGGCCATAACTCAACCTCTTAGCTTTTTGGAGAGCCACAGGAGGCTATCCAGTAATGTCCAGTGATCCAGGATTGCGCAAAGTGATTTGGCCTGTTTTTTAGCATTTTGGAAGGGTGTTGAAGGTGCAGATGGAAATGGGAGGTAAGCCTTCCCACCCTTAAATATCTCTCCCTGAGATTTTGGCTTCATGGTCTTGAGGCACACCTAAGCTATCGGTACCCACCCAATTTAGGCCACTGGGTTTAATTAAACCAATCCCAATACAACCATAATTGATGACAGGTGTTTTTCATCCAGTTTGTGCTAACTTCCTGGAGCTGACATGTAGAAAAGAATTTGCAATGACTGGATGTTTAAAGTTATTCCTAAGTGACATGTTATTCCAAGCCAGGAGTGCAGAACTTGTGACACTTCCGATGATCTGCATTCTGATTTTAGCAGCCCTTGGCAGCATGTTCTAAGGCCCTCACAATCTACTCAAAGGTGTCATGACCAGGACTGGACATTCTCCCAAATGTCTTGGTGGCATTAATAATCTTTTGCTATTCTTTGCATAAAGAGCAGTATATAATTGTGTTCAATAAAGACAGCTTAGTAGCAGCAGATGAACAGAATAAAATGTCTACATTACTATTTCATTTCAGACCGATTGCAGCTTGAAGGACAACAACAATGCTGCTCAGCGCCTGATAGATGGAATGAATTTCATGGCACAGTCAGTGTCCGAACTGAGCTTGGGACCCACAAAGGCTGTAACCTCTTGGTTGACAGATCAAATTGCTCCAGCTTACTGGAAACCCAATTCCCAGATTCTGGTATCCAGCCCCACCATTGTTATATGTTGTTTACAAATATTTCTTGCTTTCCTTTCCTTTGCTTTTTCCAAATTTTTGAACTAATGGTTCATGATTTTTTAAAATGCATTTATTACAGGGTACAGACATATAGACCTAATTTTTTTTTTCAGAATTGCAAATAACTACTCCTGCTGAAATGGGTGTAAATTGTTGTAAAAAAACAGCCTAGGTTTTTTTTTTTTATCTGTCTTCTCCACTGTTGAAATATGGAACAATGCACCACTTTCATCTCCAGGATGGAGTTTTAATTTCAACAAGATTTGTTTTTACATACTGTATGCTGATTGAGCCTGTCTTCTTTCTGCCCCATTAAAGTCAGGATGAAACACAATTCCTGTCAGTAACCAGGGATCGGTTATTTGACTTTCTCCTCTCTTTTCAGGGCTAAAAGCTGGGCCACAAACTCCTCAGATAAGACACCAATGCTGTGCCTAATCACCCCTATGCATCTGTCTAGATTCTTCCAAGAAGCCAGCTTAGTGAAGATATCTGTATTAGTGAGGGTTGTAGCATTGTTGGTTTAGTCCATTCTTCCCCAATCTGGTGCAGTTCAGATATATTGGATTACAATTCCCACCAAGGGCTATTGTTCAATGGCAGAACATATATTTTGCTTGGAAAAGGGCCTAGGTATTTCCAAATAGATCTGGGAAAGCTCCTGTCTAAAAAAGTGAAGAAGTATTACCAGTTAGCACTGATGCTGAGCTAGATAGAATAGTTCTTTGCATGTTAACCAACAACTTTGTTTCTATGAGGATGATGAGAGTTGAGTTTGAGTGTCTTTGAAGGACATTAGGTTGAGCAAAACTAGTTTAGCCAAAGCCAATTGAGTGGCCCAAATACCCCTTCACCTACCTTTTTCCTTTTCCTTTCACTTTCACTAAACAGGAAAAAATCCTGCAATGTTTTGACTATGTTCATCCTTTCTTGTTCAGAATTGCAGGAAATGTGGCATATCGTTTAAAGATAATGACACCAAACACCATTGTCGGGCTTGTGGAGAAGGTTTCTGTGATGGTTGTTCATCCAAGACCCGCCCTGTCCCAGAACGTGGTTGGGGACCCACACCTGTGCGAGTATGCGACAACTGTTATGACAACAGGGGCATTCAGTTAGGTAATCCCATCCTGACCATACTAGGTGTGTGAATCAAAGTGGAGAATTGACAATGTTTTTTTGAGTAATATTGTGATAATTTAAATCCTGTGATATCTGAGAATGAGACCAACTAAATGACATCTGTGATCAGCTACTTGTAACTAACATAGTCTCATTAATTTCAGTGGGTCTTCTCCAAGGCTGCATTTGCACAACATATATATTCATGGTTTGCTTAACTGTGATTCAATGAATAAACCAGTAAATAAATGACCGAGTATGGTCGACACCCTAAGTACAAGCGATATTAAGGTTAATGTGTTATAGAAATTCAGTTGAAATATGACTTGGTCATTTTGCTAAGGTAAAACACAAGCCTTAACTTTGTGGAATCCCTTTGCTTTATATGCAGCTCATTTCGGTCACTGTTGAACCTAATGCTTCCATACAAATTTTCTAAGATGTTGGAGTTCAACCAAGGAAACCCAGGTTTAAGCCCCAACTTAACTTGAAGCTCATTAGATGATGCTAGGCTACTCACTCCTTCTCAGGTTATTGCGGTGGAGATAAAATTAAAGGAGGTCCCAATAGATGCTACCTTAAGGTTCCTGAGAAAAAGTGAGATGTAAATGCAAAAAATATACATTAAAGAAAATATAAGAAATTGTTAACTCAGGGCAAGCGATCACTTAAGCGACCTGCATATTGTTCAGTCTATTGTTCATGCAAGTCCCCCATATTCATAATGGATTGTTAAAACACAAGGGATTTTTTCAGTAATTTATCATATTTAGTTGGTATCCTTCCCAGCTGCATCTCTTTTAATTTAATTAATTTATTTAAATTTATTGGCCACCCAACTTCAGTAGACTCTGGGCAGCATACAAAATTAGGAAGAACATAAGAACAGCTAAAAACATTGAATCACACAGGCAGCCCAGGCTAAAATAATCTAATAGATGGCAAAAACAATAATACAAAACAGGCCATTGAACAAATACTAAACATCAACCCCAGGCCTGGGACCAAAGCCAGGTTTTCAAAGCCTTCCAGAACCCCAGGAGAGATGACGCAGTCCTAATCTCTGCAGGGAAGGCTGTTCCAGAGGGTGGGGGCCTCAACAGAGAAAGCATGCTTCCTAGGTCCTCCCACAAGATGGCAGTGTTTAATGGAGGGGACCTGGAGCATACTGGGTGGGCAGAAACAGTTGGAGATAAACGAGATAATCACAATGTGACACACAGTAGTGCTAGCTTTATATGCTGATGTCACTCCAAAGTGTGACTTTTCATTTGGTAGCAGCTGGAAGTCATGAACATTTCTCAAAGGCCAACAGAAAGGTGAGAAATAATCCTGGATTTTACCTATGAATGCCTTCATCTGGAAAAGTCACACAACCTTTGGTTGAAGTTCTTAGCATTTAACTGTTTTGGAGTAATAGATCTCATTTGTTGCCCTCTACTGCAGATTGGCTAGCATATCTATGGGAGCTTTATAGAATCATATGATTAGAAGAAACCATTTAGCCTACTGAGTCCAACACCTTGCTCAGAGAAGGAATCCAAATTAAAGTATCTGTGACAGATGGCTGACCAACCTGTTTAAGCATATCTTGCAATGGGAAGTTCATCACCTTGGTCTGTAATCTGTGCTACTGTCCAACTCCTCTGATTATGAGGAAGCTTTTCCTAACATTCAGTGAGCCTGCTTTTGGTAACATAGGACAATTATTCTGCATGTTGTGATGATTTTTAAATAGGGAATTCCTCTGGGGTTGTGCTTTGGTTTTGAGCCCTACCATCTGTTCTGTAGAAGTGCCTGAGGCATCAACAGATGAGGAAGGGGGGACAGTGATTGCCAGGAAAGTTGGTGAAGCTGTGCAGAACACTCTTGGGGCTGTGGTAACAGCGATTGACATCCCACTGGGTAAGTGTTACAAATGGCCTTAGAAATGTTCTAAGCTTCTGGTTAGTTACAAAAATGGGCTTGTGGGGGAAAGTAACGTGGGGGAATGAATAGAGCCTACCTCTGAGGCAGCTGATATTTTTTCATTGATGGGTTTATAAATCAAGTACTCTGAGTTATCCTCCCTTTGTGATTATGGCCAGGTATTTTCAAATCTCAGCTGGAGGCAATTCTCCTGGGGTGTTTTCTTGCATGGCTATACTCTATGTGTGAATACGTAGGGCCAATATAGGGAGGGACTGTGGCTTAACATAATTAAGTTATATACATATATAAATGTTGAATAGGTTTTTGTAAACAAACAGAGGTGACTTTGTAATCTTTGCCCTACTTTGCTGATAACAAACTAGCTTTGTGGGATTTTTCTGACCATTTGCAGGTCTTGTGAAGGATGCCGCTAGACCTGCCTATTGGGTACCTGACCACGAAATCTTACACTGCCACAATTGCCGGAAGGAATTCAACATCAAATTGTCAAAGCATCACTGTCGCGCTTGCGGCCAGGGCTTCTGTGATGAATGCTCTCATGAGCGCAGAGCCGTCCCTTCCCGTGGATGGGATCATCCAGTTAGAGTCTGTTTCAATTGCAATAAAAAGCCTGGAGATCTTTAACCCCACCTCTCCTTCTGGGTACTCAATAACACCGTAGCTTCTCAGGGTTAGATGAAAAAAATAAAAAGAAAAACTAGGCAGAGTGCATGCTCCTCATTTCTAGCCTTCTTTATATGTGTAGATTTCAGTAACATTGTGGAATAACAAATAGCCAAGCTAAGGCTTGATTGCCAGCTGTGATCATGAAAGTTGGGGATTGGAGTATGTGGAGAAGCTTGCAATAAATCGAGGAATCCCAAATCCAGTATATTATATACCAGTCAACTGTATGTATTTCTATATCTCTATAATGTAGTATGCTAAATGCAGCTGGCTGATTAAGCATTGATAATTTACTGTTAAAATTGAAAGATAAATAGAACTTTTTTTTTTTTTAAGTGTAATGGATCAAGCACAACCTCTTGAGTGCCTTGGGATTCATTTGCTTGAAGCATTCTGCTACTTACAGCATCATGAATTTCAATAGCTGGGATTATACAAGTTGGTGACTTGAAATAACCACCATTCATGAGCCTTGGTTTTGGATACCAAGTACCAGGCCTTTGGTCTGGCCCTTGCAACTCTGTTACCCCTATTTATTTTATCCCAGTCAGGTTTTCTTCTGCTGGTAGGATCCTCCCAGTCAAAGCTAAAAACAGCCAGAAAGAAGTAGGAGGAATGCTGTTTATTACTATGTGCAAGGTCTGATGTGTAAGATTGGAAGCCCTTGTATTAAACATAGTACAGGTTTGGAGAGAAGTAAACTCTGTGGCACGAACCCAAAACTTACCTACTAAAGCCATTCCAGTTTAGTTCTGAGGTGATGAATCCTTACTCATCTTGTCCACAAACTTATGTGCTTGATTTTGTGATATACTCTCATTTCTTCATTAAACATCTCCAGACTGAAAGGAATGGTAAGTACGAAGCAAACTTCCATACTCAGCAGCGTAGTATTTGTTTAGCTTCATAAGTAGTAGTCTTTCCTAAGCTGGCAAATGTAGAGTCTTGGAGGCATGAAAGGACCCCCAAAGCACTCAAATAAACAAAACTGGAAAAAGGCAATCTTCTGAGTGTATGAGCAAATGAGGCGATGGCATTATTTTTTACAACAGCCCTGTACCGAACCACTTTGAGGCATTGATCTAATCACTGAATAAAATGATAGGATTAGGCTTTTCTGTGGATCTTGTTATCACGATAAGACACCATCAGAAGCTTAATGAACGAATCCTTTATCCTTTTGACTCCTATGAGTCAAATGGCACATTCCTGTGGTGGAGATTTATCTACATTAATAATGGCTGGACTTCGGCATGATATCTAACACTGTTTTCCAATTTATTAAGTATATTCTTGTATATCTTGATGCCTGAAATCCTGTTGTAGGACTGTATTAAATTAAGTGCTATAAAGGACTTACCCCTTCTGAACAAGTGTGCTGATTTCTTCTGAATGCCTGCGTAGTCTTTCACTAGAAGGAAGATATGGTTTTGACTTGTATATCGAAACAGAATTGGATTATATAGTAATAAATTTCTGAACTGCACAGGGATTAATATGCATTTTGTAATTAGAAGCTGAATAGGTGTTGTTGTTTTTTTCTGCTCCAAGGGAAAAGTCCTAGTAGAGGTTCTTTTTCCCCCCCTCAATATTTTTAGTTTTGACTTATGGTGGAATATACAAATAGAATTTGTCTGTAGACTATGGCCTGTGTGTTCTTCATGCATGAAGCTCTTCTACCATGTTACTGCACATACAGAAATACTGTGTTTCAAAGTCACTAATTAAGTGGGCTTAAAGGGTCATCCTTAGAACATAACCAAATACACCTTAGAAACACTGAGTTTCTACTAAAATAAAAACTACTGCTTAATTTGCAATCACCAATTGATTAAGCTAATACTAAATATCAGTATGTAAAAAATGGAGAACAGTGCTGACGAGAACAGGTTATTGGTTGAAAAAAGCTAGTTATGCAAAAACCTGTATCAGTCCTTAAATAGGAGTTGACTTAACAAATTTCAGCATATGAAACTTAAGAGTTCAAGCTATCAAGCTGTACTTGTTCTTCATAGATTTAAAATCCTTGTTTCCAAAATAAATTGGTAACATTCTTAAATTCAGCATCATAGCAGACATAGGCTGTAGGAAGCCAAACATAATGCTGTGGTAATGTTTGAGCCTTTATCTGTTTATTGCAAGACAGATATTGCAATACAGTTATAGAGAATTTTCCTGGAAACATTGCTTTTGTATGCGTTCATACATTTTTTTTGAGAGGAGCTGGACAAATATTCTACTTTAAAAAGTGATGCATCTCAGGAAGCCCATCATACCTGTAGAAATGTGGAAGAATAATAGACTGCAGTTCAATCCAGTACAAAATGAATTGTATATGGAAGAGCACATTGTCCACTGGAAGCATTTATCTTGTAGAGGAATCTCACAAGAAGCTGATCTTATCCATCTCCCCTTCCTCCTCTCTGTGTTAGGGCTTGAATCTAGACTTTCTACCAATGTCTTGTGGAATCCAAAATATGCCTGTGTCAGTTACAGAATGGCTTCTGCAGCATATACATTGAATAGCTGGAATAATTAAAAATTCATTAATATAATCATTTTGTTCTGCTACTCTTTTATCATGTTAAAAAAATAATTTTGGAACTAATACATTTCTCTCTCCTGTAAGAACCAAATTGCTTAACTCATACATAACGGTTCTGTCCTGTAGAAATTCTATAGCTCTGCCTGATTTCAGTATATAAATGAAGCTGCTTTGCAGAGCTTTAAATTTGTCAATAATACTTCCTCCAGTGATGCACTCAACTGGTGTAAAATGGTTCCAAGTGGGCAAAATCCCAAGGCCAGTTTCTGTATTTTGGCAAGATTGCTTTTCACACCACAAGACAGCTAAAAACACAAGCTAGGTAAAACATCAAATGTTATTAAAATCCAACAAGTGCCTATAATAGATGTGCCAAACTTCTATCTAGCTTCATTAGTGTTTTCTGCATTCAAACTGAAGCGTGGCTCTAGATTATGTATCAATTACAAGACAAACTTTGTTAAGATTACAAGACTCTCATAAAACCAAATCCAATGAAACAAAAATAATTGACATATATAAAGCATACTAAGAAACAGGACTATTTGATTTAATCTATTTATTAACCTTTTTCCTCGAGATACCAGTGTTTTCCAGAGAAGCCACCTCTTCCTACAACATGAGAGCCCATTAAATAATCTTTATTGTTTTCTTCCCATGTGCTTAAAATATGTGAGTTTGTTCTTAAGCATAATATATCAGATTTTCTTGCAGATTTTACATTCTTAAAGGACCATTGAGGTTTCTTTGTTTTTACTATAGAATATATTAATCTATTTAAGTGGAGATTGTGACTGAAGGGAATTCACTTCATGTCTTACTTAGTTCTATTGAAACAAATACTGAAATAATTGTGATTAAGGAGGCTTGTGGCTTACTTTATCTAAAAATAAGCGTATTGGATAGATTTCTATGCTGTGTGTATGGAATGCCACTCAAATAATGGGCTTTTCCCCTCTCCTCCTAAAAAGCCCTCCATCCACCCTGCATTCTCAAATCCTGTTTGAAATCAAAATGTGTTTGATGTCACATAGAAGATTCTGAAGAAGACAGCAATAGGCAGTTATCCCCTTCTGTTCCTTGAACAGCAACTGCCTCTTCTGGAAACGTACATTTATCCATAAATATAAGTAGGGTGAAACAGGGAATACCAGGGAAAGTGGAGGGCAGTCCAAACAGAAATACGCTTACAGCTGTCAAGTGGAACAGTGGGAAGACATAAGGCAGCGAAACCTTTCGAGGAAAGGGAGGGACCTCTTTCAAGCTATCCTATATTAGGCTGATAAGCCAGAAGTTTCCCATCTCAGTTAATACTATTTTAAAGGAAGCATTGACACAAATAATACGTTTTGGAACAATTTTCTGCTTTGCTTAACCTTTAAATAACAAGGTTTGGAAGCTTCAGAAAATTATGTTCGTTATGTAGCAAAGGTCACTCTGGACTCTCTGATAAAATTTCTAGACCTATTTGTGAAACATTCAAATATTCTGCCACCTTCTTAATGGTGAAATATATCAGCTTTCACTTTTAGTTGTTGGCTTTAACAATTATATTAGAAGTCACAGGAATACTGGCAGTTTGAAGGTAATTACTATGAGAGAAAAGAAAAAAACAAAGAATGTTATCCATAATCTGTTTTATTTACTCTAAACACTGAAAAATATTGACAATTATACTAAGAGTCCCAAATGTTAAATATGACAACTACAGGGTGTGTTGTGCAGCACAACAATGTCCATCATTTTTATTTTCATTCACTATAGAGGGTGGAACAGTCCATGTCTTTAGTATGTAGGCAATATGGATCATCTGTCTTATAGGAGAAGTAGTAGAGATCCTGTCTGACTGCCATCAGCAAGCCAGGAACACCTCGGACACCTCCAAGCTGTGATGAGAACACCACACTTGGAATAGAATCTCTGGAGGATGGATATGGAGATGGAATAGTTCGTAGCAAATGAGCGTCCCGGAGACTCCAAATTCGTGTGTAACAGTCTTGACCCACTAAGAAGGAAAAAGCAATTAAATTATGAACATAAATTCTAACACCTAACTACTTACAGCCATTTGACTGAAACTGTCTTTGTAAGTTCTGCATCCACCGTTTTTCCCAAATTAGAATGCTTGCTATAGATTTCAGTAGAGATGGCTTGTGGTAATTAAAATGAATGAAATGGCCATCTAAACTGACAAACTTTGGGGGAGGAGGTCGTAAGTGGTGCCAAGATGGAGAACAGAATGGTTTGTGCCATACAATTTGCCTTCCACCCCTGAGCTAGTAGCTGAATTCAGTAATACAGATTCCAATCAACTGAGCAAAGTAAATGTACTCAAAAAGAGATACCTGAGTATGTGGGAGAAAAAATAACTGACCTCTGACAGTAGTTTTCCTGAAATATGGGTCAATATCTCAAACGTTATCATTAAAGCCAGCTAGGTATATTTCTGCATTTTTCATTTTGTATTATGCTTAAAGGCTAGAAAGCAATAAATACTGCTTCCACAGTCTTCGGCTTGCTCTCAGGCCAACTTCATTTTGTGTACAGTAATAGCATGTGCCATACCTGCTGTTTATTATTTAGCAGTAAATACGGTCTGTGACCAGCGAGGCCATACCTGCTGAAAGAAGCCCTTCCGTCTCATTGATGTGCAAAGGAACAATAGTATGCTCATTTTTGTGACCTCTATATTCTTTTACACATTTTAGTTTTCTCAGGTCCCACAGCTTTACCTGCAAGTGATCAAAGTAACAGAACTAATATACCTCTTTAGTTAAGCATAAAATGTTATCAGGAAGATTTTATTTAAAAAATCCTACCTGGCCTAACATATCTGCAGCCATGAGATACTGTTCAGTTTTCAGGAGGTTAACAGATGTGACTGCTGAGTCATGGAAGAGTTGGGTAGCCTTCCACCCTTGCCCTTTATGGCTGCGTTGACGGACATCAATGCTGAAAATCTCCCCTGACCGACAGCCATTATATAAAACTGGAGACTAGAGAAGCCAAGGGAGAAATTTAAACATTTTCAAGTAACTAACTCCACCCTCAAAAACAGCCGTTAGTCTTTAATACCACTCTATACCAGATTCTTTTTTTAGGCTACTAGAAGCATAAAATGGATTATTTTCTGTAATTCTATTTTATCCAAATGACAGCCAAGGTAGTAGGTGATGCAAGCAGCTGAAGAAACAGGGCAGGTTTCTGTTTAGCTATATGATATCTTTATTGCATCTCCCAAACTGATTGTCTAGCAAAACGTGGTTTAATTTGGCAGCCTATTTTCAAATATTTAGCATTGGTGACATCATGTCATGTGAATATCTGAATAATGGGCTGCAATTTTTTTCTCACAGAGTGCCATTCCAAAGAATTTAAAACAGCCATCATGTTGTAGCAGTTCACCTGTTTCTGCCCTCTCCTGTCCTCCTTATTATGTCCTGCCAGCATTAGTTCTGATGAATACGTGGATCAGGCTGATTGCCTCTCCTACCTGGGTGGCAAATTGCTGTGCTAGAACATCGCTGTTGGTATTAAACGTTTGATGATGACCAGTCACTGCATTAGTCACAAGGATTCGTTGACTTAAACCTAAGGCAAACAAAAATGTAAGTGCCAATTGTATAATAAGACACCATAGTAGAAATCTGAATTACTAACCTGTGCTAAAGCAGTTATTAGCCTGAGGATTATGACACCAGGCACAAGACCAGGCTGTGGAGATCTTGAAGCTGCACAACATCCCAGGCTGATCTCCTAAAATGAACAGGAAAGAAGGTATCAAATGCCATTGGGAAGTGGGAAATATGCTCCATGCAAACCTGCTTCCAGTCATTTTCGAACATTATATAATTATTTCAGCAGAAAAATATAATATTTGAAACAAAATGTTTTAAAAATGAAACAATGTTGAAAAGAATGCAAGTGATAATTCTGTTTTGCTAGCCACTCTAGAATCTGGGCAAATTTTCTATTTGGAGGTAGGGGTGTTTATACTAATATCTGGAATTAAAACATTTCATGATAGCTAACATCTTGTGTGAGAAAATTGATTATTAGCTTTTCTAAATGTAATGTTCCAGCAGCACTATAGAGACTGAATAATTTTTGTCCCAATATCATGGTTAAATCTTATCTGCTTAAATGTGTAATATTCTTTATGATTTTTACTAATGGTAGATTCCCCAAGCTTCTATATCCCTAATCTGAGATAGAAATCCAAGCTCTTACAATATGGATACATTGTGTAGCAACAAACGTTCATATTTTCCTCCTCGACCAACGGAACTGTATTTTACCCGATTTTACACATATTAACAGAAATAGCTCAAATGTATTCTCAGGGAAAACACCTCTATTTTGTAATGTCTACAAATAAGATTTGTTTTCAAATTTCAGTTCCCTATTAATATTCTAACAATACAACGTTGATCAAAAATATATACCTCTATTAATAGGAATCAATAGAAGAGCAGCTGAAACAACATTCTCCCAAAAAACCTTCCTTTCCCCCCCATCCTCAAACAAATATGAAATACCTGCGTTAGAGCTGTTGAACAAGGATGCTGGGAGCAGGCTGGCACACCCTAAGGTTTCTGCAGCACCCATGAGGCATAATTTGAAAAATGCAGTTAAGGATATTAAAGAGAGGATACATAGAACTTGCACAGAAGCAAAGTGTGCTCCATGACATCAGATTAAAAAGTAGATCAACTTCTGCAATGAAAACACTGATAAAACATTTCACTGGAAAACAGAAGCCTTCAGACTATCTTAAAATATACTGTAAAATACATTCATTGAAAATAATGCTTCCATTCTCTGATTTTATTGATTTATTGCAATTATTTTATAGTGTCTATTTGAAAGATTCTGGACAGTGTACAACACAATAAAAAGCATTAAAACTGACACAATTAAAATACCATTAAAAACAAACAATATCCCTCTCTAACAGAATGAAAGAAGAAATATTCTTCCTCTTGTCCATAAAGGGGGTGGGGGTGGGGGAATCAACAAAGGCTAACATCAGTGTTTCTTAACCTGAGTTAGAATCCCTAAAATAGCAAAAAATATATTCTGGATGCATACAGGAGATATATTTCTCTTTAGTATAAGATTTTAGACAAGTGCCACATTTTGTGGCAGATACGATCTTGACTTCATGTTACTCTGCAGCTCCAAGCCTTCTTATCAAATTGTAACTTTAATCGCTCTTTAACCTTCAAATCAAGACTTGAGTGAGTGCCATATGATGCTCAACAGGTATTTTCCCATTCTCCTTGCTACAGCCTTGATCCAGAAGGATTTATTATAATCAAGAAAACGCACATCTTGGTTTGGTTTTTATCTTGTAAGAAACAAGGCTATATCTGTACAATAGTTTTGGGATGAACATGAACTTAGACATGCTTTATTTAATAACAAGGATATAAAACATGTGAATCCAGATGACTCAAGGAGGCCCAGCACACAGAATTCACCTTGGAAAATAAAAGGCAGATAAATCTTATTACAGCAAAAATAAGCAAAATTAAATAAGAAGAATTAATGGGGCAAGCGCTAAAAAACTGAAAGGATTAAAAAAAAATCAGTAAGTGATAATACTTTGGAATAAAAGTAACTGGATAGAAAAATAGGAATACATCACTAAGGACTATGTGGGTCTCAGTAAGTATTTTCTTAAATCTTTATATGCTCCATACTAAACAATGTAGTTTCCATTAATTTATTTGGTTAAAGAAAAAAAAATAGATTTTTTTTTTCAAAGTGAAATACAGAAAAGTAATGTGCAAGAAAAACTTTCTATACTAGATGTTATTAAGATACTGATGTTATGCCATAGTGTGATTAATTTGTTTTTGGTTTAGTATAAAGTGTGAATTCCTCCATTATGTCTTAGAATTATACATGAATTTGGCTGTAGTGACTTATTAGACAAAGTATCATTTAAAACATCCTGGATTAGAGTTGTATGAATTTATTTATTCAGTTTATATGGTTGCCAGCCAGCATGCAATTCAGGAGAGCTCAGCCAGTTAAAAGCAACAAATAAGAACCAACAAAAATAAAATGAAAATATATTAAAACATATTCCACTGGAGGCAATTCAGACAACTAGAAACAGTCAAAATGGGCTCATAAAACCTCCTCTACCTGGGGGGGAAAGCCTGATTTTTACAGCCTTTTGGCAGGCAGGCTTGGGGTTGCTATAAACATAGCAGCAACTCTACTGCATTTCAGAATATATTAGTTGGAATCATGAATAATTGATATTCATTTTAATTGCTTATGGACAGGAACAGAGCTTCCTTTTCTAAGGGTTGATTGGAAAGAATGTAAAAAAATGTGCAGGATATATCTGTTGCATCTAACCTAAATTATGATCAGCAAAATACTACAACTAAAGAAGTGGGAAAATCAACATGTTCTAACAACTTTTCAAGTTTACTCAGTAGAACTCAGATATTCTATTCATACAAAAGCCAACAAATTGACAATTTGTAATACTTTTAATCCCCACTCAATATTTTTAAAAGACATTTTATTTATTTTTTATTTATTAAATTTATATGCCTATCTTTACACATTTATATCCTATTTTTTAAAAAAACAGTCCAGGAGTGTAAATATAATAAAATAATTATTAAAAAATTTCAAAACCCAAAGAGAAGCAGCAAAGATAACAATACTAAATGCCTAGAATAACAAAATATTTACATGGCATCAAAATGTCAGTAAAAAGGTGGCAGACAAGCCTCCCCAAAGAAAGGATGCCCTCACTGAGATGTACTTCAGAAAGGCATTTACTTTATACATGTGGAGGCATCTAGAGGACCCCCACTGACCTCAGTGGGTTCAAATGGAGAGAAGACATCCATGAGATATCTTGGCTCTGCATGGTGAAAGCATAAACACCTGGGCTTTGAACAGGGTCTAGAAAAAAAGTCAGGAGCTACTGTAGTTACTTAGGAAGAAAAGAATTAAGTTCTCAACATCTAGAATAGAGCAGCAGCAATACATTCTGAACTACAGTTTCTGAAGCAATCCACATATAATGAATTACAGTAGCCTAGACTGATTAGAGTATGGATAATTGAGGTGCATCAGCTCAAATTGGTGGAAAACATGCTCCTTTAGGAAGAATGTTATCCAATCTAGAATAGGCCGAATTCCACCTCCTAAAATACATATTGGTGGCCTACATGTCATAAGCTCTTGCACAACAAGCCTAACTGAATTAAGCTTTTTAATAATTTTTCAGAATCATATTTTGTTTGAGTGCTGAATTCTACAAAAAATTCTATCACAAAAGTTGAATGAATTCATTTTGGATACTATGCTCATAGTTTTTCACTGTTAAATATCCTGCATTACTTCCTTTTACAACTTATTTAGCATTTCACTTTGTAAAATCAACTAAATATTATTTAACTGTCTAAAATCATAAACCATAAATGTTTATCAAATAGAACTTTAACCACAAGATTGTAATTTATGTGATAAAAGGGAGTAAGAGATTGCATGACAGAATAATACCTTGCGATTTGTGAAGTACAGGTTATCATACATCTCCACGGTAAGAGAATCCTTTCCCAAACCACTGAGGTTGACAATTCCATATTTACATCCTCCACGTTCTACATCATTCACAGTGATTATTCTCTCAGAGGCAGTGTCTGCCTGCAAAATATGTGAATTGTTCTGAAATGGTATACTGTACAATTTTTCCTTGAAGGCCCTTCCACTGATATTCATTGATGTTGAATATTTTTTATTCCTCTTAAACAGTTAATGTCCACAAATGTCATAGATTAACACACGTGAGATGCTTCTCCCATCTCACAGCCCAATTCTAGTTAGCTGTTACATTCTTCCAAATGTTTCTTAAAAGAGTTTGTAAAAAGAGGATATCTGCAAGTAACAATCCTTAATATAAGATCATGTTACAATCCTAACAGAAATATTATTTGTTTATTGGGCTTATAGGCTGCTCTGCTCAACTGACTCTAAGCAGCATACAATTCCCTAAATCTGTAATCTGAGTTAATATAAATACATAATAATAAAAAATTAAAACCAACATAAACTATAAATCTGCCAACATACCACAATTAGTTTAAAATTGTTGCTTCCAGAAACTGAGGAACTGAGGCTCTCAATTTCTAATTTCCTTCTCTGCATGCAATTCACCTTTAATTCATGAATCAGCCTACATAAGAAAGCAGAAAAGGGAAAAATTAAGTAAGTGCAAAACTGAAATTGAATGTCAACAGACACTATTACTTAGTTAAAAGGCAGTATTCAATTTCTTAAAAATCCCCAAACCTATTTATTCCTATGTAGGACTTAATCAGACTATTCAGTTAAAGTGAAATTTTATATAAGAATATTAGATGTATATGAGATCTATACATTACTTTTAAAATACCATTAACTGGGCAAAAGTAAACAAAAGCCTTATAACTACAAAAATAAATATCTGTAGATTTACTTTGTGTAATGCAGAATCAAATATCCTAAAATAGAATGCACCCTTCCAGTTAGGACCTCCAGGGAGAGCCTGTTGAGGTCGCTTGACCTTATGCAGTCAATCAGGTGATAGACTTTCTTGATGGTAGACCCTATCATTTCAAATATTTTAAGTCCAGATGTATGCATGGCCCTAATTCATCTTGAAGGAAGCAAGTTAAAGGGTACTGTTCCAGTGTGCTTTGGGCTCATAGTTTTGTTTGGATGACCTTCTTAGTTGAGTGTCATTATTATTTTAATTGATTTTTTAAAATGTATATTTTAAACTCTTGTATACTATTGAAAGTAACTTAAGTAAGAAGTAAATAAAGATAAACCCGCAAAAATGCTATATCTCCAGCAAACATTCATCCTGGAATTAGGTTTCAGTCTATCAAAGTGACTCTCCTTTCTGTGGGACTATTAAGGTCAACACTATAGTGTAAAAGCTCTGCAACATAGACAGGTTTTAAAATATCTTACCTGCAATAACTGATAGAGCTATAGAAACCTAACTGCTTCTTGCGTAAGATAACTGAAGAGTTCAGCCCAGATCTAGGTGTTTTCTATTTAAAACAATGAAAAACAAAATTATGTTTCTTGTATTTAAACTAAATCATGTGTAGTTACCATTTTAATATCCAAAAGACAAGTGGATTTCAGACAATTGTAGAACCCCTTACTATGTTCCAACCAATAATTTAGGATTGTTACTAACAAATAAAGAAAAGGCTACAATTTATCACAAAACTAGGTTTAATGAGATAAAATGGTTTAAAAGGATGTACTGGACTGTTAGCACTGTGTGACTGTTATTCAACCTTACCTTCATCATTTTCTCCTCCTCTTTTAAAAGTCTTAATCTTTGACTCTCCATCTCTTTCTGATGAATACTCTCCTTAGTGAGAGGATTGCAGTTGTTATGCCCAGGAAGTAAGCGAAAATAGCGATTCTTTTCAGGATCATAATAAAATCCTGGTAATTCTTAAAAAGAGAGTGACAAATCTTATTAGAGCCTCTCTCAACTTTTTCATAACTTACACAGTATTGCAGCTTTAGGATCTGGAATAAGAAAACTTCATACTTCCAGTTCAATCCAAAGAAGATGCTTTTGTTTGTTATACTACAAATATGGCTACTTAAATAAAACAACATCAATAAAAAATATGAATCATTTACAGAGACAAGATTAAAATAACTCAAAATAAAATTCAACAAGTAGACCACCAATGGTTATTCTAAAACTTTAAAATGATGAGTTTTATGCAAAAGTTATCCAGCACATTGTCCTCACCAAAAAAGCAACTATTCCGCACTTATACTGTATTTTTTCTCAAAATATTCAGACTTTAGAAGCAGTAGAGCTAACCAGTTATGCTAGCTACAGAACAGTCAATCATGCACATTTGCTGCAATTAGCAAAATATCTGGTATCAGAGCTATTAATAAAATTGTCTAATAACTACAGTCTGAGAGAGGAGGAAAGAATATGAACTCTGTGAATTATGTGAAAAACTGTCTTCCAATATTAATAATAACTGAAAAAAAGAAGTGGCTGCTGAAAAACAGTCATTTTCTATTTATCCATATAATTTGTCATTTTGAAATTGATAATTCATTTAGATATTTTTTAGCCATGAGGGAAAGGCACATTTATTAAAAGTTAAATGATTTTTTTGGCGTAAACTTATAGAAGCAGTGAGAGCCTACCAGGAACTGAAGAACTCTGGCATGAGTGAGAAGACGTAGAGGGTGATTCAGTTTGGCTTGTACCTGAGTTCTGCAAGCTTTGCAATTCTCTTTGTTCAGGCCTATGAGTACGTGAGAAAGAAAGAATTGAGAAGATAGTAGATAGGCTAAATAATGAAGCAACTATCAAATATAGAAGTACTGAAAGGCTAAAAGTGTACAAAGAGCAGGAAAATGATGTCAAAAATTCCATTATTCTATGCAGCACCATATCTCATTTGAACTGTATCTATGAATTTGTTCCTCAGGCCAATGGGTCATACATGCTTCCCTACTGCTCCATACTCTAAGGACAACTGGCAGTATTTGGAGGACACTTTCTGGCATTAGATTTTACTTTATCACCTCAATTTTTCCACTTGCTAGCCCAACAACTCCCTGATATTATATACTATAGAATGCTATTCAAATTCTACACTGGCTAAGAAATAGTAACTTGTTATTTTATATACCAGTTCTCACTGATTTGTTATAATCACTGTAACTAATAATCTGCCTCACTAATTATTCAATAAATATTTGGTAAAATAATCCAGTCTCCAAGCTGGATCAAGACAAGCCATTACTAGAACATGTATCATAATTCCTTCCCACTCTTGCCATCTTTCATTACTTTAATGAAGCAGCTGGTGAGGACAGAGCATGAGGGGTACTGAGGAATGGCCTCCATTAGACCAGGGAATCTAGGAACTGCAGGAGTAATCCTGTAGTAAATAAAGTTCTTGGTGTCTGCCAAATATGTTCATGACAGCATCTAGCACTTAGCAGAGGCTTTACCACAGTGCCCAATAAAAGCCCTCTCTGCCATGCCTTCTTAAATCAGAGAAGGATGATGATGGCAGAGCAGCTCCTATCAGATGCTACAGTGAAAAAGGAGGGAAGTAATCTTAATATACAGCCTAGATTCCACGAGCAGGAAATATCAGGAAAACATTTTTTAAGGATTACCCCAATTGGTAATAATAAACCGAAACATGAAATGTTCAAAGTATAAAGGATTTGCTATATCACCTTAATAGTAGCAAAATATTTATATTAGATATGAAATAGCAACCCATATAATATAATCAAGGTGAGGATTTGCTCTCATCAACTTCTGACATAAAACTTTAAATAATCTATTCTCTTTGAAATACATTTTTAAAAGGCTGAAAATGAATACTTGCCTTTCAGTAGAGTGACGATGGTGGCATACTGTGTATGGCTGGGTATTACAGATTTGTCTACGATTATGCTGTACATGATTTCCTCTACCTTGCCACCTATTTCTCTTCATCTCTGTAATGAATAAAGATACTGTAAAATAC